AGCAACTTTCATGCGAGGGAATTGGTCTTTGCCAAAGTAAATTTCTTCTTTTGTTAAAAATAGATTATTTCTATGGTGTGCCTAAGGAGGAGGTGTCTGGACGTACAAAAATGTTTATAACTCAGAAACTGTTCAACATAGGAGCTTCAGATTTCTTTTTTTGTTTAGCTCTGATGTATGGAAGCATTTAAGTGACAAAATGCATTTCTGCTAATGCATTATAATTTTCCGATTTGACTTTTCAAAATGAATTTTGGTCGCTTTTTACCAGGACATGTTTTGAAAATTAAATGTCAAAGTTTGTTTTATTGAACATTTTAATTAATTTACACTTTGAGCAGTCTTGGAGAAGAAAATGAACATACAGTTTGGATTATTTATTTATAGTTTTACTTATGAGTCAAAAAATTCAGGTACATGTTGAAAATGAAACAGCATTTCTATTAATCCATTTTAATTAGGATATTGTTACTTCTTCGCTTCCATAGATTACACACCAGACAGGTCGCCAGTCCATCGCAGCCAGTCACAACCAGCAAATCAAAAATCCTGCACCAAGCAGCAGATATTACTGAACACAGAAATTAACAYAAGAAACACTTTCAATTTGTACTCCAAGTATATTTAGTTAAGCATATAGATACTTATCATTGTCAACTTTTTAGGTAATAATTTTTAAAAGACATTTTATAAAATGTAATTTGGCCTGTCTGTGTTTGTGTTCCCCTGCAATATAACCAGGGCTGGCTCAAAAATTCGTGGGGCCTTAAGCAGAATATAATTTAATCCCCCCTAAGATCACCRCCCTTTCTAACAGCATTTCAGAGCAGAACTGCTGAAAGATGGGAGAAGGGGCAAGGTTTAATTGGCTTTATAAACAATCACTGATAATGTTCATATTATTTGCTAGGATGTATGTGTGAACAAACCAAGCTCACAAAAATTAAACCGATAGCATCAGATTGTAGCCATGGCAACACAACAATCAATCTATTAGGATTATTTTTACACTATTACAAAGTAAAATTTTAAGATTTTTAATTTATCTATGTGAAACCACTAAATCAAGTTTAATAGCTTTGTCTTTCTCAAAAAACAAATTCTAAAAATCTAGATCTGTAAATATTAGCATTTATGGGGCCCCTGAAGGTTTGGGGGCCCTAAGCAGCTGCTTAGTCCACTTATGCCTCAGGTCAGCTCTGAATGTGACTAGCATTAGCTTGTTTTCAGACCAAGCTGGGCATTCAGGGCATTCAAACCTTCATGCTAATGTCCAAGGAATGAGGAGCAATCTAGCTGTACAACACTGATTGCTTAAAGGAGACCTATTATGGGGGTCCTAGAACAAGTTAGGATCCATCTGTGGGCTCTACAAAACATTTTCATTTGATTTAATTCACAAATCTAATCTCAGATAATGAAATTTCACCTTTTCAGTTCTGCCTGTTCTGAGCTCGCATTAGAATCTGTTGCTTGCATGAGTTGCCATGGAACCCCCTCCCCACCTGTTGGTTACGTTAGCTCTGTCCCCCGCCAGAAGGTTACTTTCACTTTCTTTTCAGCTTCCTTTCAGTTGAAAGTACTATTTTTCCAAAGTAGTGCAAGGTGAAATTATTTACACAAACTTTCATCTGGGCGGTATGACCAAAATTTTATATCACTGTATTTTCAACATTTACACCAGTTTGACTGTATTTTTCTTTTCATCACAGGTCAGCTGTTAACAAAAAGTACAAACACTGCTTATTGACTTTTTTCTTTTACTGTACCTCTGTCTGTGTCTGTGCAGTAAAACAAAACCAAGATGATTTTCTAATAAATGAACTTATTACTGCACACTTTATGCCTAGGAGTGTGAGTAAAGTTGATTTTTTTCCCTTATGCATTTAACTCAATGAAAAACAAACAGCAATGCTGACAGTATCTTTATTTCACAAAATAAAAGTCAGACAATATATTACTACATTTCAAAAACCACACAACCACCTAATAAAAGTAGTTTAAAGTCCGAATGTAACCAAAGCATCTCCGGAAAGCATCTCCGAGCAGCTCCCTGCTGCCCCAGCCTGTGGCTGCCTCCACATGGATAGCGGGGGCAGCTGGCACCGATGTAGGAGAAGGTGGAGAAACGGTCCGGGAGCTCAGCTGGTCAATTGTCGAAGGTGACTCTGAACAGAAAACAAATGATCAGCCTCGAATACGGTCATAATTAATTACTAATTACATTAATGTAAAGCTGGGGGTGTTGTTTTTAGCCTCGATCGCCAACTAGTGATAGCCGCTAGCTGCTAACTAGTTAAAGAATATATCGGTACAAACTTTATAAATAAATGGTGCAGTTTCACAAGCGAGACATGTGTCCCATAAATTACGTTCAATATCTCACTAAATGCACATAGCACTCACCGTCTGATGAAGTTTGTGAAGACTCCAGTCTGCAGATAGCAGCAGCTAACTAACGGCTGTGTCCAAAACGGCAGGACGGGTCCTCCGAAGGTCGAATTTGTCGGCCACATACGTCACAGTGCCGCGACGAAGGACGTCCAAAACCGAAGACTCCTCCGATGCGGCCGACAAATACGTCCTTCCTTTTGCCCGAATCGAAGGACAGGTCCGATGGACCCAGCATATCCCATAATGC